GAGGCCTATTTTCCGAAAATCCTATACTTTTACTTTTTTAAGGCATTTCTCAGCTTTTACAAGGCCTAAACTGCAAATCTTGGTATCAAAATGAAGATAGGTTCTTGGGGAGTGGTGTGGATGAGTTAATTTGACGGTCAAGAACACTGGGTAAGAGTAATTGATGTTGGAATGGCCAAAAATGAACTCCGCCTAAAAAAAAACACATGTTTCCTCCAATATCTCCTTATTTTACTTATAATGAAGCAAATAAACACAATCAATTGTAACCACTACATGTCAAGAACATCTGTAGCAAGTTTTGTGTTCATACTACAAGAAACTAATATTCTGTAAAGGTTTTGATTGAACAAAGTTCAGGCGTAATCCATGTTGGCACAGTTTGGCACAATTTGGCACAATAATTGAAATATGGAAAAAATCTTGTCCAAAGCTTCAGCTACGCTCAGAGTCTTCTTTTCTTGCTTATGGGACATGATTTCAGCAAAAAAAACTCCTAAAGAAACGCTGTAAAAGGGGGGTAGAAGCTCATTTACACCATCTTGCTGCTCTTTTGGGAACGTTTCACTCACAAACGCTTTGACGTCGAGCTTCTGCGTGTCCCTACCCCCCGACCATCTGTCCAATCCGAGAGATCTATATATCGACGGAAAGCTCTGATTCTATGGAAACCAATCAGCTCAACCATTTTGAGACGGACGGGATCGCCGACGAATCACACGACGCGCAGCGTGGAGAGACGTGCTCTTACGCACCGGGAGTCATTCCATATTTGGTGACGTAATGACGCCACAAAGCTAAAGAAATAATCCAAAATGGAGTTTTCGCGAAGCTATCGACCGGACATAACAACAAACGGACTTTATCGCTATGGAAATAACTTTTTGTTGAAAAAACGGCAAAGGTAAGACAAGATTTACATGCTTGCTTGGTTTTCGCTGGCGTTTTTTCGTGGAACTTTCGCTCCCTGCTCTGAAATACTTCATGCAATGTTAATGAGTTGCATATCACTGGATTCAGCTGGTTGTTGGCTTTCATTTAATGTAATGGTTTTGGTGTTTCCGTTTATATTGTGGATACATATCGCACATAAACAAAAATGTGGTCCTGAATTATACTCCGGACATGTTGTTGTTTATTTGCATGGCGTTCGAGCTGTGGTTAACGGATATGAAATTGAATTAGATACGTTTTTAGAGGAGTTTCCGCTGAACACAACAGTATTTAATATATGTGGGTTATTCTCAGGGTTAGTGAGCTATGAGCGAAAATGTAACGCACAAGGGGGCAAGTCCCCGGTACCGGGGACTCTCGGGCTTAAGAGGTTAAGGAGTTTAACTTTTGTGTTATTTTATCCAAAATGATTTGAAAAAAAAAAAATTGAAAATTACGACAGTGTTGTTTTCCGTAGTGTAGTGGTCATCACGTTTATATGCAAAAGGTCCCCGGTTCGAAACTGGGCAGAAACAACAAGAAGGAACTTTTTCTGAAATTCCACTGTGGTATTTTGTTTTTGGACATTAAGGAATTTAACTTTTGTGTTATTTTATCCAAAATGATTTGAAAAAAAAATGTGAAAATTACAACAGTGTAGGTTTCCGTAGTGTAGAGGTCATCACGTTTATATGCAAAAGGTCCCCAGTTCGAAACTGGGTGGAAACAGCAAGAAGGAACTTTTTCTGAAAATCTACAGTGGTATTTTGTTTTTGGACATTAAGGAATTTAACTTTTGTGTTATTTTATCCAAAAGGATTTGAAAAAAATGTGAAAATTACAACAGTGTTGGTTTCTGTAGTGTATTGTTTATCACGTTTGCCTAACACGCAATAGGTCCCCAGTTAGAAACTGGGTGGAAACAGCAAGAAGGAACTTTTTCTGAAAATCTACTGTGGTATTTTGTTTTTGGACATTAAGGAATTTAACTTTTGTGTTATTTTATCCAAAATTATTGAAAAAAATATGAAAATGAGTGCAATATAGGTTTCCGTAGTGTTGTGGTCATCACGTTTGCCTAACACGCAAAAGGTCTCCAGTTCGAAACTGGGCGGAAACAATTTGAAGGAGCTCTTAATGAAAATCTACTGTGGAATTTTCTTTTTGGACATTAGGGAATTTAACTTTTTGTGTTATTTTATCCAAAATGATCAAAAAATATATGAAAATTACAACAGTGTAGGTTTCCGTAGTGTAGTGGTTATCACGTATGTATGGTCATCGTTTATATGCAAAAGGTCCCCAGATCGAAACTGGGTGGAAACAACAAGAAGGAACTTTTTCTGAAAATCTACTGTGGTATTTTGTTTTTGGACATTAAGAATTTTAACTTTTGTGTTATTTTATCCAAAATGATAGAAAAAAATGTAAAAATTACAACAGTGTAGGTTTCTGTAGTGTAGTGGTTATCATGTTTGCCTAACACGCAAAAGGTCCCCAGTTCGAAACTGGGCGGAAACAACATGAAGGAGCTCTTTCTGAAAATCTACTGTGGTATTTTGTTTTTGGACATTAAGGAATTTAACTTTTGTGTTATTTCATCCAAAATTATTAAAAAAATATGAAAATGAGTACAATGTACGTTTCCGTAGTGTAGCGGTCATCACGTTTGCCTGACACGCAAAAGGTCCCCCGTTCGAAACTGGGTGGAAACAATATGAAGGAGCTCTTTCTGAAAATCTACTGTGGTATTTTGTTTTTGGCCATTAAGGAATTTAACTTTTGTGTTATTTTATCCAAAATGATTTGAAAAAAAATGTGAAAATAACAAATGTGTAAATTTCCGTAGTGTTGTGGTCATCACGTTTGCCCTACACGCAAAAGGTCCCCAGTTCGAAACTGGTCGGAAACAGCAAGAAGGAACTTTTTCTGAAAATCTACTGTGGTATTTTGTTTTTGGACATTAAGGAATTTAACTTTTGTGTTATTTTATCCAAATGTATTGAAAAAAATGTGAAAATTAGAACCATGTAAGTTTCTGTAATGTAGTGGTCATCACGTTTGTCTAACACGCAATAGGTCACCAAATAGAAACTGGGCGGAAACAACATGAAGGAGCTCTTTCTGAAAATCTACTGTGGTATTTTGTTTTTGGACATTAAGGAATTTAACTTTTGTGTTATTTTATCCAAAATGATAGAAGAAAATGTGAAAATTACAACAGTGTAGGATTCTGTAGTGTAGTGGTTATCATGTTTGCCTAACACGCAATAGGTCCCCAGTTCGAAACTGGGTGGAAACAACAACAAGAAGGAACTTTTTCTGAAAATCTACTGTGGTATTTTGTTTTTGGACATTAAGGAATTTAACTTTTTGTGTTATTTTATCTAAAATGATCAAAAAAAATATGAAAATTAGAACAGTGTACGTTTCCGTAGTGTAGTGGTGATCACGTTTGCCTCACACGCAATAGGTCACCAGTTAGAAACTGGGCGGAAAAAACATGAGGGAGCTCTTTCTGAAAATCTACTGTGGTATTTTGTTTTTGGACATTAAGGAATTTAACTTTTGTGCTATTTTATCCAAAATGATCAAAAAAAAATGAAAATTAGAATAGTGTAGTGGTTATCATGTTTGCCTAATACGCAATAGGTCCCCAGTTAGAAACTGGGCGGAAACAACATGAAGGAGCTCTTTCTGTAAATCCACTGTGGTATTTTGTTTTTGGACATTAAGGAATTTAACTTTTGTGTTATTTTATCTAAAATGATTTGAAAAAAATGTGAAAATTACAAATGCGTAAGTTTCCGTAGTGTAGTGGTCATCACGTTTGCCTTTCACGCAAAAGGTCCCCACTTCGAAACTGGGCGGAAACAGCAAGAAGGAACTTTTTCTGAAAATCTACTGTGGTATTTTGTTTTTGGACATTAAGGAATTTACCTTTTTTGTTATTTTATCCAAAATGATTTGAAAAAAAATGTGAAATTAACAAATGTGTAAGTTTCCGTAGTGTAGTGGTCATCACGTTTGCCTTACACGCAAAAGGTCCCCAGTTTGAAACTGGGCGGAAACAGCAAGAAGGAACTTTTTCTGAAAATCTACTGTGGTATTTTGTTTTTGGACATTAAGGAATTTAACTTTTGTGTTATTTTATCCAAATTTATTGAAAAAAATGTGAAAATTAGAACCATGTAAGTTTCTGTAATGTAGTGGTCATCACGTTTGTCTAACACGCAATAGGTCACCAGTTAGAAACTGGGCGGAAACAACATGAAGGAACTTTTTCTGAAAATCTACTGTGGTATTTTGTTTTTGGACATTAAGGAATTTAACTTTTGTGTTATTTATCCAAAATGATATAAAAAAATGTGAAAATTACAACAGTGTAGGATTCTGTAGTGTAGTGGTTATCACGTTTGCCTAACATGCAACAGGTCCTCAGTTCGAAACTGGGCGGAAACAACAACAACAAGAAGGAACTTCTTCTGAAAATCTACTGTGGTATTTTGTTTTTGGACATTAAGGAAAATATGAAAATAAGAACAGTGTAGGTTTCCGTAGTGTAGTGGTTATCATGTTTGCCTAACACGCAATAGGTCCCCAGTTCGAAACTGGGTGGAAACAACAAGAAGGAACTTTTTCTGAAAATCTACTGTGGTATTTTGTTTTTGGACATTAAGGAATTTAACTTTTGTGTTATTTTATCCAAAATGATTTGAAAAAAATGTGAAAATTACAAATGCGAAAGTTTCCGTAGTGTAGTGGTCATCACGTTTGCCTTACACGCAAAAGATCCCCAGTTCGAAACTGGGCGGAAACAGCAAGAAGGAACTTTTTCTGAAAATCTACTGTGGTATTTTGTTTTTGGACATTAAGGAATTTAAATTTTTTGTTATTTTATCCCAAATTATTGAAAAAAATATGAAAATGAGTGCAATGTAGGTTTCCGTAGTGTTGTGGTCATCACGTTTGCCTAACACGCAAAAGGTCTCCAGTTCGAAACTGGGCGGAAACAATTTGAAGGAGCTCTTAATGAAAATCTACTGTGGAATTTTCTTTTTGGACATTAAGGAATTTAACTTCGTGTTTTTTTTATCCAAAATGATCAAAATATATATGAAAATTACAACAGTGTAGGTTTCCGTAGTGTAGTGGTTATCACGTATGTATGGTCATCGTTTATATGCAAAAGGTCCCCAGTTCGAAACTGGGCAGAGACAACAAGAAGGAACTTTTTCTGAAAATCTACTGTGGTATTTTGTTTTTGGACATTAAGGAATTTAACTTTTGTGTTATTTTATACAAAATTATTGAAAAAATATGAAACTTGGAACAGTGTAGGTTTCTGTAGTGTAGTGGTTATCACGTTTGCCTAACACGCAATAATTAACTTTTGTGTTATTTTATCCAAATTTATTGAAAAAAATGTGAAAATTAGAACCATGTAAGTTTCTGTAATGTAGTGGTCATCACGCTTGTCTAACA